TTTTTTTTTTTTTTTGTGAGGCAATGGCATCATAGTTCTTTTCCTAAGTCTAGTCTGCTACTCTTGCTCCTGCCAGCTTTATTTTTATATCCGTCCACCCACTACTATTACCACCGCCCTCCCTGCCTCTCCAACCGTACTATTCCCACTCCATTGGCCTACCTTTTCCGCGCCAGTAGAAATAGAGGGAAAGATTTTTATACTCGTAAATGGAAAAACTAGGCTGGAGAGGGAGGTTTTGCCAGTCAACCGCTGCTGCGAGCGAAATTTTTTGCTTCGCCCCTCGTCGTCGACAAGCTCGTCGAAGGATAAGTTGGGAAAGACGGGGTTGAGGTATCCGTTGAAGTTTATCTCGCGGAAGAATTATAATGTTCATCTGTATTTTTATCTGAGAAAATTTTGTTTATTATTATTAAGGCCATTATTAACATAAAGACTTAAATACTTTTGACAATGGAATGGAGAAATTTGTTAAAAACGGAAATGGAAAAAAATAGAAAGATGAAGTTATGCAACGCTAAGAGATATGTAACAAAGATTAATAATTATAGATTAAGCAACTAGCTCTATTCTTTTATATTCAGTCTACAAATTCTACTTCTCCAACGATGCGAGTTGAAGGGAAAAAAAATGTTTGACATTTGATCTGCGGAATAGCAACATAATTCCTTGAGTATGCATCGTATGCAAATTTTCAGAGCCTGAGAAATAATTCAGAAAGGGTTCGAACAGACGGTGGTCAGCTTTTTTTCGTCCGAACCTCTTGCTCCCGACCCGTAGGAAAATAACAAAAAATTCGAAGCTCCCTCGACAATGAAACTCGTGAGATTTTCAACCGTGAGATTTTGTCAAGGTGCATCGCTCGCTTAATCCACTAATTTCTATGATATTGAAATTCTCATGAATAAATATAAAAAATTGTTTCTTATTCGTCTTTATAAAATATATTAATTAAGTATATGTTCTCTAATAACGATCAAATTTTGGTTTATTGACTCAGTTTGTAATATAAAATTATATCCAATTTAAAAAGAAAAAAAAAACGCTTTCTTCTTTATTAGGAGTATCTTAAAATTAATCACTATTTGCAATTTGATTAAAATGAAATTTTTTTTTAATATTCATAATTCTATTATTTTATGTACTTCATAAATGCGAGAGGCAGTAAAATTAATACAATTAGTTTAATGACTGATAGTTAGAAACTAATTGAACACTATACATTATACATAATGATTACGCTGTTGTCAAAACAGAATGTGTTTCGCTTTGTTATCTGCAGAATGATGTACACTTACATAGCACATGATTATACATCAACTCTTTACGAACATGTATCAGTATAAATGTATAAGATCATGCTAATAAAAATGATGTATTAAAAATATCAAATATTTAGAATAAATATGGAATTCGAAAATAAATTGATAATTTATATTACTTTCATAAAAACTTTCTAGGAACTCGTGAACACTCAATTAAAATCGCTACTGAAAGTCTTTTAAAATAGTCGTTTATACGAATTTGTGGAAAACATTCGTTGAATTAAAAAGTAAAAAAATCGAGGTATAATAGATCTTGATCTTTGTGGCAAGTACAAGCAAATAAATGAAAGTTAAAAATAGGTAACGTAAAATCATACGCAACCATATTCGTACCACACTTGATTACCCGCTTTAGAATCTTTGTCCACAGGAGTTTCTATCACTGTCTCTTCTTGTCCTACATCCTTCATTTCACTATTGTTAAGATTCTTCGATTCGTTTATAACTGCCGATACTTTGTTGTATATCAGAACCGGCCGTGGTTCTGCTTGCACCTCCGATCGTGAAGTTTGTTCCAACAATATGGAACGTCTGTCATCTGCCTGTTCCTGTAAATATTCAAATTGTATGTTTCAAATATTCAAAGAATATTTTACTAGCGTCAAAAAATAAAAAAGTCACAGAATTGTAAATTAATAAATTCATACTGGTAAGGTAGTTGACGGCGGTGGAGAATCATCGGTGTAATAGACTGTTCTTCTAGTTCCTGGATGTCCAAGAGATAACGCATCTGATCCGAGACCTCTAGTTGATCCTTGAATTAATTTTGTGGGACTAATTTATTAATATCTTTTTGTTTTTACTTTCATATATATTTACCTGCTAAGCGTTGATCTTCTGTACTAGCATCAGAGTCATTTCCACCAGATTCTGACTCATAAGCTTTTCCTTCTGAGTGTTTGGAATCTTCCACCCAAGATCGTCGATTCTAGTTTAGACAGAATTTAAACATTAACTTATGTTTGCATTAGATGCTTTTGCATCAATTTGTTTACCTTATTAAGAAACTCTGATCCAACTTTTCGAACCCTTCGAACGAAATTAACTCCAAATCCTTTCCTTCAAATACATATAATACGTAAAAAAAAAGATACATTACAAATGTACAATTGAAAAAATTTTAGACATTTTATTAATACGATGAGCCATGTATATTGTATGCATCGACTTACTTTTTTGGAGTACAACTTTCTAATTTCCTATAATGCTCCATAATTTTATCTTCTAATTTTTCTTTTTGTCTATATAGATGATTTACTTTGTCCCTACGATAAAATAATATTAATGCGTTAGTTGACAGAAATATATAAGCATTGCAATCATCAAATACTAACGTATACATTTTTTCTTCCATGTGATAATGTTCTTTGTCTTCAAGAGAATGAGTCAGAAGTTCATGATATTGGCTAAACAATAAACTAATATGATCCATCAAAGAACGCCTATCATTATCTAAACCAGAATTCATATGTAGTAGGACCTAAAATGAAATGTGTGTAGGATAATAGTAAATATAATATTAAATATAATTCAGCAAATATCTTTTAATACCCCACAACGTTGATTTAATTTATTAATTTGAAGTTCTAAATTGGAACATCTTTCATCCCTACTACTAAGCTCGCCTTGCATTTCTGTTAATTTAAGACTTAATCGGTTTGTTTCAATTTTGTTTTTTCTATAATCTTCTTGTAAATTTCTATACTCCATCTTCAATTTTTCTGTAGCAGTGTATAGATTTCTAAAATCGTCCTAAAATCACAATTCATTATGATGATAATGTCTATCCTTTAAAATTTGCTTACTACCTTCAATTTCGAATGTTCTCCTCTCAAATTATTTAAACTTTTCGCATCATTCACCAGTGATTCCTTGTCAGATTGTAATGTCTTGTTTCTTTCTTTCAATCCTTCATAAGATTCGCGTAACATTCTAATTTCATTTTTTACATCTCGTAGGTTTGATTTAAGAGCATCATGTTCGTGGAAAAGATTTTCATATTCATTGTTTAATTGCTCGTGCAAAGATTGCAGAGTGACCTGATCATGAACCAGTTGTGTGTGCGCTTGTTGTTGAGCACTACGTTCCTTTAACAACTAACATAAAGAATGTAATAAACAATATTCAAAAATATGCAAAATTTATTTAAAAAGAAATTCATTTCAAATACTCACCTCTTCTTTTTCAATGACAAGTTGCGAATTTGCAAGTTGCAAGGCTGCATGTTGTGCTGCTAAAGAATTACTTTGAGATTGTAGTGTCGTTATCTGAACTTGAAGTTTGGCATTTTCAGATAAAAGATTTTCTGATGCGACTTGTGCAGTAGCCAATTTCATATTTAAGTGTTCTTGTTCCCTCTAAAAGCAAAAATAAAGAAATTATATCTCATAAGATTACGAAAAATATCTCCTTAGTTTAACAATTGACAGTTTACTTATATAGCTGCAACATACCTTAAGCGTTTCTACCGTTGCTTCTAATGTACTATGAATATTACTAGTTACATTATCCTCGGAATTTGTTTCAGGTACTGAGTTTTCATAATAGCAGAAATTATCTGAATTTCTTATGTAATCAACGATTTCCGGAATTTGCGCGATTCTATAATAATTAATTGATAATTAATATTTAGAAAATTCTCATCAAACTACATTTTAAATTTCATTACTTTTTAATAATGTTATCAAATGAAAGTGATAACAATATCTCATTACTAAGGCCAAGTTTTTCTAGAATTGCATACATCTGTTGAGTATTCAATTTTTCAGCTATTAAACTCGATTGTAGAATTTCCAATGTTTCTCTGTCAATAGCTGCCCGTGAATCCAATTCCTTACTGGATCTTTCAATTTCTTGCAATCTGGAAGAACATAATAATTTTTCAAAAAAAAACATTCCTGTATTAAATAAGCACGTATATCCCATGTAAAATATTTTATACCTTGAAATTTGTGTAACAGAATCATGAAGTTCCTGTTCAAGTTGCGTTACTTTCTTTTCTAGAACTTCAATACTATTTGTTGCTGTGTCCAATGCAACATCTTTTTTCTGAAATTTATTTTACTATGTAAAATTTAATTTGATATTTTATAAAATTAAAATTATACAATAATTTCTAACAAAAAAATTTGAACATGATAATTTCGAATATGAACTGGAATATCATATAGTAATATAATTCAAATTAGATGTGCTTATCATGAAATATTTCATTACTAATCTATCTTCTGCAAAAGCGAGGCTCCGCTGATCTCTAATATATTTATATGTATAAGCAATCAGTCCACGAATAATTTTAATTTAGAATTTTAAGTTTAGAATACAAAAAATCATAAAACAATTAACCAATATCTAGTAAAAATATCTTTTAAAATTCATACTTCTACTGTTTCCCGATATCGATGAACATCACGTAGTGCTACATCTTTCTCTCGTTCTACTGTCGCAAGTTTTGATTCAAGATCAAGACACTTGGAATTAATTTCATTTACGTTATTTTCGATAACTTTTAATTCCTCGATTTTTTGATTGGCAAGCTCTAAACTACGTTCTAAATCATCTGCTCGTCTTTGTACGCTTTCCAATAAAGACTGAACTCGTTGTTTTTCTTTTACACTCGTGTCGTAATTTTTTTCCAGTTCTATCAATTTTGTATGTTGGGTCTAAAAATTAATAAACAAAAGAAAGAAAACATTAAATATAAAAATATTAAGATATCATGCGTAGAATTTTCGTGATATACATACTTGGAACTCCTGTTGTTGTTTTTCGGACGATGTCCTTTGATTTTGTAATGAAGTCTGTAACTTTTTGTTTTCCTCGAGAGCTTGTTTCCATACAAATTCCAAATCTGAATTTTGTTGCGTTAGCCTTTCAATATTATCATTTAACGAATCGACCTTTAATTGCAGCTTTTTTTTTTCTTTTTCTAATTCCAACACACGAGATGAATTTTCATGAAATGAACTTTCTTTTAAAGAATCTATTAAAGTAACCAATCGACGGTTTTCTAATTCTAGTTTCAAAGCCCGTGTTTGTGCATTATTTGTCAATTGTTCAGATAATCTATTATCAGCGTGTGCTAAATAATATACAAATGTGCATTATGTTCATATACGACGGACAAAGTTTTCATATATAATCAAAATCATTTTTCTTATTACCTGGTTCTTCAGAATCACTTATAGAACTAGCTAGGGCAGCTTCATTTGCAGCAGCTTTCGTTAATTTATGCAATTGACTGTTTTCTTCGACTAGTTCTTGATATTTCTCTTTATCAACCGCACGTTCTAATGCCATATCATTCAATAATTGTTTGTACTTAATAATTTCAGACTCCAATTCCAATACTTTATCTGCTCTCCTTCTTGATGAATTTAATTGGTCTTCTAGCATTTCTCTAGTCTCCATTAAAACTCTACAATAAATCAATAGTATTTTTTATGAAAAAAATATAATTGAATTATACTTCAAAGAAAATAAATGTAAAATACTTGTTGTCTTCGCGTAGTTCCTCTATTCGAGTTTTATAGAATTCTATATCCGTAAGTTTCTCCCGATATCTTACTACTTCCAATTCCAATCGGTCAGCACGATCTGCTCTTTCAATTACTGCATCTAATTCATCTCTATAAGACTTTGCTGTGCGTGCTTCGTGCATTAATTCTTGGTTCTAAAACGATAATAAAAATTTATATATTTTTGATATTTACTAAAAAAAGAAAGTAATATAGGAAATGTCTTACTTCTTGCTTTAATTTGGTTACTAATATTTTATGGTATTCGAGTTCTTCTTTACTTTCCAATAATGCTTCTGTTTTTTCTTCTCTACAAAAAAAAAGTTAGATCAAGCATAAAAATAATTAAAACTATACAACAATATATACAACAATATATACAATTCTTGTCGTTGTTTTCTAAGTCTCGATTTCCAGTCGGCCAATTCAACTGCATAATGATGATTATCCTCGCGTTCTGATTTAACAATAGGATTAGACTGTTGCACTTTGTTCATTTCTTCAGTTTCTACACTAATTGACGAATCATTTCTTTCAATACTCTCGTTTATAATAGTGTTTCTCCATTTCTGTTACATCAACAATGCTTTATAATTTATCAATACATTTTGTTAAACGACAATATTGACAAAATAAAATTACCTGACGATGTAAATCTAATTCTTGAGTCATCTTTTTTATTTGTACAAATAAACATCCCATATTTACATTCTCCATTGCATCTTGAGTAATAACTATGTCTTGATAATCTGTGACCTAGTAAAATGTCAAAATTCTTTAACTCATGCAGCATAAACAATCGTAGAAAATATATAAATATTAAATTATAAAAGTCTAGGAAACATACCTGTTTAATACATTCAACTATTGCAAGTTGTGTATCAACGTTTAATGTTTTTATATTCGTGATAAATTTTTCTTTGTTAGGACACTGTACAGCACAACCAAGGAGCAACAATAATAATAATTTCATTTCAGAAATATATACTTGTGGTTCTTTGCCTAAATTTAATGTATCTGGTAACTTCAAGACTATATGACCTAATTCCTCTTCATAAAATTGTTTCATATTATCCACTATAACCTCCAAGTTTTTTGTGCGAATTAATGAACTTCCTTCTGAAGGTATTATTTCATTGTATAATGGTTCAGGATCTCTATAAGATATAAAACATAAAAAGACATTAAATATAGACTTTTAAAAAAGAAAATTAGTACAAACCTAAATATGAAAATACTTACATTTGCAAAAATACATTGTGCAATAATACACCATCCACCAAGTCATCATAACTTGTTAATGAATTAGGATCCTCTAGGCAACTGGCGAACTATTACATAAAAAATGTATTTAATTAATTTTTATTAATAATAAATTAATATTAACTATTATATTTTATTTCATGTGATTTCATATTCAAAAAAAATAGGGACAATAAAAATATTAGGACAATAAAAAACTTACCCATGTTACCAAAGGTCCCGACAATAAATCATCAATTTCCATGCCAGATGCCATTTTTACACGTTAATTATTAAGACAGTATTTAATAAATGACACTATTATTTCTTTATTACACTATTATTACACACGAGTAAAAATAATATAATAAATATTTCTGGTTAAAATGTTAGTTTTCAAAGAGATTGAATGCAAATTACAATATAATACTAAATTTTCAAATACATAGTATGCAGCCAAATTTTAAGCTTGGTACAGCATGTGCAATAAATTGCATAATAATAAAAATCTATAAAAAAAAAATACAAATTATCACACATTTCAGAATATATTAATAAAATTTAATAAATTTAAAAAATTACATTTTTAAAATAAAAGTCTATGAAATTAGATGAAAGTTTTCTAAAATTAACTAATTTGCTTGGTTGGATTTACGATTACATAAAAAATGAACTATCAATATATTGATTATGCATCTGCATGTGTGTACATTAATACGATAAAAAAATAATTTTACTGCTCCAAATAATTAATCACAAAATTTTGCAATTAACTTCTAATAACGACAATCAATTCAATATTTGAATAATTTCACGATACTCGATTTCATTCATTCCTTACGTTTATTCAGCGGTCATATTTCATACACGTTTACTACAGATGCAATAACAAAGGAAAATGCAACCGTACACTTTCGTATCGACGACATTCAACGTGAACGTGAAAACATATATTATTTCAATCTTACACCAGCGTTACTTAATATATTGTCGGTATTTGTTGAACTGTGCGAGACATTGTCTGAATTTTTACGTACACCGTACACTTCAAGGCGAGAGTTGAACGTAAAGCGATCAAACGTAAAATACACTTGAAAGTATAAACAAAATCCACATCTGCCGGAACATCGGAAGCATTGTGCACCGATTCGAAGCTGTCCAATCCTCTGATTGGTCGTCATAATGCATCAGCGTCCTCTGACGAGTTTTATTAAAGTTAAGAATATTAAGATCACTGAGAGACAAAGAAACAAATAATGAGAAAAAAAATATTTATGTTTGATACGAAATATGCAACTGAATATTAATGCACTGTAGTTCTTCGTTATCAAAGATAAGAACTTTATTTAATTATCGAAAAAAGAGTACTCATAAAATCTTAAATATCTTCAAATCTTTTCAAATATTTCAACGTGGATGAAATACAGATATATTTGACGTATCTTTTTTCATTTCATTTAGTTTCACACTTTGGAAGAGCCGATGGAGACAATGAAATAAAATTTGAAACAGTGATACTACTGAAATGATATTCGTTCAATATCAATTTTGAAAATCGTTATATCTATTTAATTTTATTTTAACGATAAAACTGTTTAAGTAGCTGCATTACACCTTACTTAAATCATCATAATAAAATTCGTACCTTTGCGTTGTAAGTCAGTCATCACATACAACTTTTTAATGCTACTTAATAAATAAAGATCTTGGAATTTGCATATAAAGGAATTTATGTATGTAGCAGCTAGAAAGTACTTGTATTCTTACACGGAGAAAGTACAAGACACATTATATGTAGTTCTCAAACGAATGAATTTATATTACAGCGTACAATTTATAATTAAAAAGTGAAATGTATAATGTTCACGTCGAATTTGCACAATACCATATAAACCAAATGATAATATTTAGTACTTATGATAAATACAATTTTGCACAAATTGAAATCTACAAATGACGATTGCGCGTTAGTGCATGAAACTTGACATATCTACATGCTAGGCATCTACACGTAGATATCTAAGTGTGCGCGGAAGATACGTTAGCGTGGCGTGAAGCAACGTAGCTTCAGATTCTTTGAATAATGATTCTGTTTATTATGATATAAGTTTTAATATCATTGTAACATATTCAACGATTTCATTTACTAAAATTCATTCTACACGTCAATGTATTTTTACTTAAGGTAATTGAGATTTTCGGATGTTTTCTTATCCCATTGACTCTGCTACAATATTTTAACAAATAATTTGATTGTACGTCAGTATTAAAGCAATAACAATCTGTAAACTATCAATTTTTTTATTATTATTTTGACTGTATATTTTGTACTGTATATTTTACATTTATTTTTGTTTTTCTGAATTTTCTTTTTCAATTTTTTTTTTAATTTATTTTTTTTAATTTATTCATTTTATATTCATGTACATCTCAGTACACAATTGTTAATTATAAATTGTTAATTATAATATTATGAATTGTAAAAGTATCATTGTCAAATTTTTGTTTCAGGTCTAATTGTATTAAACAAAATGAGAATTGTGCAGTTGAAACGAAACCGTCTTCTTAGCATTATTATTTGTAGTATATTTATGCTTTATATGTTATATATTGTTGTAAATTTTTTTTCTGACAAACCTATCAATAATTTAAAGGAATATTGGTCAGACAGTCTAAAGGCCAAACAGGTAAATACAGTATTTATTTATACAATAAATTATTCATAATTAGTAAATACAATTTTTTAAACATAGAGATATCAACATTTTATTGAAAGTAATCTTGTTCAAAGCTAAATTGCAAAGATTAACTATAATATTTTATTCATTAAAACTTTCTCGTATAAATAGTAAAAGTATGTCATCTATAGTATATTACATGTATAATATGATCAGGAAATCTATAGAAAACAACAATTACCTTATAATAGTAAAATATCAAATATTTTTTGTACTTCTATAAATACATTTTTATAAATATTTTTTTATCATGTGAATTACTATTTTATAGATTCCAGTTCTATCAAAAGATCTTGGTAACTTTGAACCCAAACATGTATCAATTAAAAATGGACCTGGAGAAAGAGGTAAACCTTATATCCTTAGGGATGATCAGCAGAATGATGTTCAACAATCAGAATCAGAATATGGCATGAATATAGCATGTTCGGATGAAATTTCATTAGATAGATCAATCCCTGATACAAGAATGCCTGAGTAAGTTAATAATGCTACTGTTTCCTGTTTTCCTCAATTCACAATTTTATACTGTACTATTCAAACTAAATTTATTTATTCTGTTTACAGATGTAAACACTGGAATTATCCAGAAGTACTCCCTAGAACTAGTGTAATTATAGTATTTCATAATGAAGGCTGGTCTGTATTAATGAGAACTGTTCATAGTGTAATAAATCGCACTCCTCCACAATTTTTGGAAGAAATTTTGCTCGTAGATGACTTCTCTGATAAAGGTAAGTATTATAAGGTAGTGTAATATTATGATAAAGCTGTTTATCAAGATGGCACTGATAAGAAATATGTATTTTTATAGATAATTTAAAAGGAGATTTAGATTCCTACATAGAACAATGGGAAGGTAAAGTTAAATTATTGAGGAATGATAAAAGAGAAGGTTTAATAAGAACGAGATCACGTGGTGCACGTGAGGCTAAGGGCGAAGTTATAATGTTTTTAGATGCACATTGTGAAGTTAATGTTAATTGGTTACCACCACTTTTAGCTCCAATAGCTGTTGATAGGTAATTTTTCATTAAATAATAAAGTTAGTACTCATACGAAAATGAATCTTTGTCATTATCTTTTAAATATTTTTAGGACTGTAATGACAGTTCCCATTATTGATGGAATTGATCACAAGACCTTCGAATACCGACCTGTGTATCAAGAAGGGCATTTATATCGAGGTATTTTTGAATGGGGAATGTTATATAAAGAAAATGAGCTTCCTGCACGGGAGAAAAAAACACGACCTTATAACAGCATGCCGTACAAGTAATTTATGTTTCAAAAAATATTCTTAGGCGTATAGAACGAAATTATTTTGTATTCATATATTAGGAATAACATAATTCAGGTCCCCTACTCATGCCGGTGGTTTATTCGCAATAAATCGTGAATACTTTTTATCATTGGGTGGCTATGACGACGGATTACTTATATGGGGCGGAGAAAACTTTGAGTTATCATTCAAGATATGGCAGTGTGGAGGAAGCATTCTTTGGGTACCATGTTCGCACGTTGGTCACGTATACAGAGGATTTATGCCTTATAATTTTGGAAAATTGGCTCAAAAGAAAAAGGGACCACTGATAACCATAGTAAGTAAAACATTCTTAAGCGTATAAATCATATATTTTGAATTCAAAGATATGAAATGACATACAATTTAACATAAAACGAAAATCGTTAATCCTTTCTAGAACTACAAGAGGGTGGTAGAAACCTGGTTTGACGATAAACATAAAGAATTCTTTTATACGAGGGAACCACTGGCACAATTGCTCGATCATGGCGATATATCAGAACAATTGGAATTTAAGAAACGGAAAAGATGTAAAAGTTTTCAGTGGTACATGGAAAATGTCGCTTACGATGTTTTCGATAAGTTTCCTGAGCTACCACCTAACATTCATTGGGGAGAGGTAATAATAGTATTTTACCTACAGTATCATATATTTGCCTGTACTTTTATATATCGCTGAATTTCTTTCTTTTCTTTTTCAAATCTTAGTTGCGAAATGTAGCAACAGGAATGTGTTTAGATACAATGAGTCATTCTCCTCCTAGTTTAATGGCTACAACTGACTGCCATGGATTTGGTAACAATCAGGTAATTTATAGAATTAAGTAAAATTCTTAATTATGATTGGTAATTTCGATCTATATAATTCTGCTTTCAGTTAATTAGATTAAACGCGAAAGGTCAATTAGGCGTCGGAGAACGATGCATATCCGCGGATAGTCAAGGAGTGAAATTTGTATTTTGCCGTTTAGGGACCGTAGATGGTCCATGGCAATACGATGAGGTAAATTTAAATAAATATGACACTAAGTCATTTGTTCTTTTTCTTACTACCTAATCATTTATTCACTTTATTTTCGCAGAAAACAAAAACGCTTCTACACAGAGTGCACAAAAAATGCATGGCACTTCATCCTCAAACACAACAGTTATCGCTGATGCCATGCGACATCAATAATACGTATCAGCAATGGTCTTTTCATCAAATTCATCCACAATGGTGAAGGAACGTAAGTACTGGTGCTGTTTGCATATGAGATATTTCATGTAGAATCAAACATTTTTTACAAGACTTTATCCATGCATTGACTATTTTTCTTTTATACAACAAATTGTGATTAAGATACATGGTGTTTCTCCCTATTACAAATAGTTCAGATATTTATGTAAAATGAAAAAATGTGTACAAATCATACTATAAATTCTTTTTTTAAAGTGATAATCATAAAATATTCTACAAAAAATAGTTCTGTGAAATCTGAACAGTGCTAAAATGAAACTTAAATCAAAACACTGTCATCAAAAACTGTGAATAACTTATGATTAATGAGAGGAACGAACTTTTTACTTCGATACGATCTTGTTGAAATCTGTTCTTTATTTAACACAATAATATAATTCATTATATCTCCACGTTTGAGATTCTTTCACACAACTGCCTAATAACGTCGAATATGGTGATAGATTGTGGTTTATCTTACATTACATGAATTTAACTTTACTCCTACTTCAATTAGTTTTTGAGCTATAGGATAAAACCATTAAAATCATTTTTCTTAACAACAAATATTGTCTATATTTGCTCAGATAAAGAAAAGAAAAAATGCGCATATCCATCAACTGTACAAAACGTTTGTGAGCATTTAGTGATGTTAACAAGCGTTTCTGACAAATACTTGTTAAACATCGTTTAAATGTTGATAAATAAGGATAGATAAAGCTATTTTAGAAGTTCAAGTAAGAAAAAGTTGTTCCTATGAATAATATTGATTTTGGATTTTATTATATTGCTTCTATCAATATTAGAAAATATTCGTTTGTCACATATTTGCATCGACTGACTAATAAAGCTCACAAACGTTTATAAACTATTACTGTGATTGGTGGATCGCGTCTCAAGACAGTTGCAAGAAATGTACATGTATCAATCATTTTGGAGTGCATTTCGTTTATATTATCGATATAACGTGAGAATGTGTGCTTCCATTTTTGACTGATTCTTCTTAAGAGAGCATGTTATTGATATAGTTTTGTAATAGTTTCCCACTTTTTAAAACACACTTTCAGGCAAGAAGTTACTTAGCATAATGTAAAGACAAAAAAAAAATGTTTTATCCAAGATCATGTACCAATAAAATAAAGCAAATATATAATTTGTAATAATTCTCTGTTTTCTAATTTGTCTCTCTGATTGCTGAATTTCTGTGTTAACTGTTTAAACAGATAGACGTTCAGTTTTTATAAATATTCTCTATTCTAAGGAAATCATTTCACTGAATTTTCATACAACTAAACGAATAAATAGTATAGAGAAATTTAATGATTTAATTATTACTTTCAATATACGCATAAGATATGTGTGCTTAGAGTTGGGAACAAAGTTTGGAACTTCCCAAGGTGCAATATCACCATCTGCATCTATTCTTACAGCGTATTTTATCCTCACTCAAATTATCATTATTTAATTGTAGTAAATATAACTTTGATACATATGGTCAATCACAGTCAAGTTTGATACTAATTGTAAGGACTTAACTTACAATTACAATTAATATCTCTTATTAATAGAAATCTCTTAATAGTAGAAAAATAAACGTTAATCAAGAAGCTTAAGTGACAATGACAATGGAGTAACTCGAGTTTCTATAGTAGTTGGCCTCACGGATGTCTGAAATAACATTGGATCAGATAATGTATACTTAATAAAATAGTAGTTGCTAGATAGAAGAAGAAGTAAAGGAAATATTTACCTTGTTACAATCTCGAATATTAAACGCACCATAGACAATAGGATTCATGCAGGAATTCGTACATGCGAATAGAAAGAGTCCTTTCTGGATTCGTTGATCGACTTTATACGCTGAGTTCCGATCGATCCAATACCTAAAGAACATTCAAACATATTTTCTATAAACGTTAGATATTGTATCTAACAAATTTGGAATTTAGAATTTTAAATAATATAGCAATAACATTGTAATTTAATAATTTAAAATTACGTGTTCTAACGTATTAACGAACAGTCGCATTTACCAAAGACTCATAACGTAGTATGGTGTCCAGCAAATGAAGAACACGGCAACAATGATCACGGTCATCTTTAAGGTTCGTATTTTCGCTCGTGTGAGAAAGCCGACAGAGGAGCGACGTATTTTATCTGAAACT